ATGGAAAAGACATATCTGACAAAGGACTTAAATCAGGGGTGACAAACTCAAATGCACCCCAGGCCACAAGGTCAGAGGTCACCAAAATGAGTGAAGGGAGACAGGTGGGAACTGTGACCAATTAGAAAACAGTGCCCAGTCCTAGTTAAAGCAGGCAGTAACTGCTCAGCTGCAGTCTTTTTTGCTATACAGGTAAGCAGGGCCCGAATTACTAGATTTTCTTCCTCCCTTCCTCCCTCCTTCCTTTCCTTTCCTCCCTTTCCCTTCCCTTTCACCTCCCCTCCCCTCTTCTTTCCTCTCCCCCCTTTTTTTCCTTCTCTCCCTCCCTCTCTGTCCCTCCTCACCCTCCTTTCTTTCTGTGAAACCAGACATCTCTATTCTTACACAAAGACTCCCAGTTGTTAATGTTGGAAACTGTGCTAGCCAAACAAAATACGCTGGCATACTGCAAGCCCACCCCTAACATTTGCAGGGCCTGGGGCAAGAGAACAAATGGAGGCCTACGTATCATATGTCTAAATATTTAAAAGGTATAAATCAAGCTCATGAACTGTTAAACAAAATATGTTCTGTCTGCCTACAATGAAAACATATGCCTTCCTAATGACCTAGAAGGCAGGTGTGAATTCAGAGTTCTGGGACACCCTGAGGTTGCTCGCAGAAATGGGGCATAGGACATGAGGGGGGCACGCTTGTGGCCCCGGCCTTTCTCTTCCCACCTCTGGCTCTGCCCGGGATCACGACGGGCCTTGCATACCAGGGGGTACCTCAGCCCACAAGTCATGCTGTCTGTCCCCTCATACCTGCCAACAGCTGCCCCTTTTCTTCCTGATGCACACACTGCATAGAGAGCCCTGGACACACTCAAATGGACTTGGGCATATGTAACGGGACTTTGAGATCCCAGGATCCAGACTGTGGTCTAGAGTGAAGAGCGTGGGTGGTTACATCCCTGCAGTCCATGTGACTAGAGAGGGCCACAGTGAGGGCCTTTAAGTGGAGGTCTAAGGCAAGGCCCCTCCTGGCAAAATCAAAGTATATGACTAGCCCCAATTTGAGAGCGCTGATTTAAGTAATGGTCTTAGTTACTTTTCTCACTGCTGGGACAAAATATTCAATGCCCACAAGTTCAGTGAGGAAAGGTTTATTTAAGTTCACAGTTTGCAGAGATTTCAGTCCATAGTCATCTGGCTCCAAGGCAGGGCATGGCCGGGGCATCACAGAAGAGAAACAGTCATGGCACAGCAGGCAGAAGGCATTAGCAGTAAGCAGCAGCAGCAGCCGCAGCAGCAGCAGCAGCAGCAGCAGCAGCAGCAGCAGCAGCAGCAGCAGCAGCAGCAGGAGCAGGAGCAGCAGCAGCAGCAAGCCTGCATTCTTTCTGTCCCTTTTATAGTCTATCCAAACTACAAACATTGATTGGTGGCCCTCACAACCAGGGTGGAGCACTTATTATCCGCACTTACTCTCAATCCCAGTATCACATACCCTGCTCCAGCATCACGCACCCTAGATCCAGCCACCTCTCAAAATTCCCACCTATGAGTGCCTGCGACACTATGGGGACATCTAGACACAAGCCACGACAGTAATGAAATGCTGAGGAGTGAAGAGGTTTGGACTCTTGGCCTGGCTTGCGGACTAATTAGCTGTGTGACCTTGGGTAAATCATAATTTTGTAAACACTAGTTTCTACTTGATCAAATGGGAAAAAAATAGCTCTTCTAACCAATTTGCCTAAGGAATAAAATGAAAGTGTGCTTGTGAAAATATAAGGATGACTGAGATAATAACTGCCACAGGACAGATTTTATCAAAGGGAACCTGTATGAAGGTTTCACTCAACATATCTCATTAAATAAAAGAGATTTGATTTGAGTGTAAAGCCTTTATATTCTTTGCTCAAATCTCTTTTAATCCCAGGTATGGGCTGGGTCGAGAAGAACGGCAATGGTAGTACTTTTCATTGAGAAATTTTCTTCTCTTTCACCAGTCTCTTAGGATGAATTTCCTATCACACTGGCCTTAAAAGTTTATTGCAAATGTAAGAAAACAACCTGTAGTTTCCAGTGATTTATGGCTCGCTTCTAAGACAGCATCCTATAATCAACATTAAGGCAGAATCTGTCTTTAGGGGTACAAGTGGTCTTATTGTGATAGTCATTCTAGAAATACTGGGTCTCAATTCTTTCTCTATTTTTCCTTCTTTCCTCCCTCCCTTCCTTTCCTTTCCTTTCTTTGTAGTTCTGGGTATGGAACTCGTGGACTACTGAGCTATCTCCCCAGGCATCCCTTATTTATCTTGAAACAGGTCTCACTAACTTACCCAAGTTGGCCTCAAATTTGTAATCCTCCTGCCTCAGCCTCTTCATAGCTGGGATTACAGGTGTGTGCCTTCAGGCTCAGCTTTGATTCTTAGTGAAAGATCAATGGAAAATATACAAAAGGGGAAAAACTACTTAAAAGAGGAAGTAAATACTAAAATTTTCTAGAAGGATCTCAATAAATAATGATACAAGAATTTTATGTTTAGTACTTTAAAGAAAAACAATTTCAAACCATAGAGGTAGACAAGGTTTTACAAAGGGAAACTTGTACTACTAGGAAAATATTTATGTGACAGTAAATTTAAGAGTTCTTTCCAAAGAAATATTGTTTGATATAGATAACCATGTGAAAGCATGCCTGACCTGCTACTGAAAGATATCTAAGTTAGACCATTTCAGGACTGATTTAAAGTATGGTGGAGAGGAAATAAGGTGTTAAATCTCTCTAAATATTCACACAGCAGTGGGGCATTGTGGATGTTTGTTGTGTCATAACATCTATTTCCCCTTCTAACACACTCTAATTTCCTATTTTGGGGCCACTCTTTTCCTGGTAGGATACAATTTGTGGATATTGCTGGTAACTAGGATGTCTATGGTCTAAGTTAGGCCATTCAGATGCTGCCTAAAAGGACATGAATTTTGAACAGATGGACAAAGAGAGTGGACATATTGGGAATTTCATCCTGTCTAAGTGGAGGATCTTGGCCAGAAAGATTGTGACCCTTGCCTAGATTCTGGAAGATTCTCACTTCTTTTCCATGTCTAAGATTGGCTCTCCAGGCATCACATCCTGTGAGTTCCCTACACATCCTTGTTTTAAATTCCCTTTGGCTGTTATCCAGAAGGAGTTTTGTTGCATGTACCTGGAGAACCTTGGTAAATATAGTGGCAGCAGGGAACCGCGGTGCTGCCCTTCAGTCAGATTACTAAGTTCTCTTGTGACCTTTCACACACCCTGACCCCAGCAAAAGCATATCTCCCAGAGGGTTATGACGCAGAGGCTTAACCCTGAAACAATGGCACCAGCCCAGGGTTCCTCCACCCAGTGACATGTACTAGTTTTCTTTCTTAATTTTCCTGGAATGTTTAGTGTTTCACCCAATAGAGTGAGCTGTTCCTACAATGGACATCAGAATCCCAGCGCTTCAAAGGGCTCCCAGAATGAATTTATATTGGAATCAATAGAACAACGAGTCAGCCTGGTGCTCACAAGGCCTGCTGGTGGATCCATGGGTCAATATCACGTGCTTAGAAATGAGGTTCCAATGTACCTGGCTGCCCTTGAGAGAAGTTAGTGGAAAACAGCAGAGGGCTGGCCAGGTGTTGGAGTGGGAATATGTGGGAACTAAAAACACCAGAGGAGGGAGAGAGGCAGGAGGTAAGGGTGTGGGGGAGGGAAATAAGATCTGGGAATTGATGGCAGAAGGCACCTGGGCCACCAGGCAGACAAACAAGAGTACAATACAGGGTGTGAGGAGCAGCAAATGCCCTAGACTAGCTTTTCAGCTAACTTTTAAAAATTGATGTTAATAATTACTGTTTAACTTTCAACTCCAGCTATCACTAGAGCTCAGCCTCTTTGGTCATTTATTATCCCCGGTGCTGTGGCCTTGAGATTGCTCTGTGTGGCCACCAAACAGAGGAAGGGCGATAATTTGGAAGCAAAGAATATAAAGGCTTTACACTCAAATCAAAGCTAGAGAGTGTTTCACCTTTCATTCTATCTCTTGCTAGCCCTGGGACCTTAGGAAAGTTACTTAACCTAAGTCGCTGGACCTCAATGTCCTCCGCTACAAAATGGGGGCAGTAAAATAATTACACATGTAAGGGTTGGGCGTGTAGCTCGGTGGTAGAGCACTTGCATAGCATGGATGAGACCCTAGGTTCAATCCGCTAGCACTGCAAAACAAAAACAAACAAGAACAACCAAGCCGTATAAAGCACTTAGTAACATCCTTGGTACATTAGTGCACAATAAATATTAGTTACAATTATTCACTTTGAAAATGTTTATTGAGCATCTACAATGTTCCAGGCACTGTTACAGTCCTTGAGACACGTTCATGAGCAAAACAGACAAAGATATTTATCCTCATGGGATTTACATTCCAGTGGAGGTGGCAGGGGTGATCGAGGGGGGGATGCCATAAACAATGGTGGTGGTATTACTGATTCTGACCCAATATTCACCCACCCCATTGAGCTTTTTAGCACTCCTCTAAATCCTTGTCTTCTTTGAATGTTCTGTTCATCTTCAGGCTTTATCTAAAGCCCGACTGGCCCTGAGGATGTGGATTTTTCCACAGCACTCAAAAATGGGGTTGCTTTTCTACTACTGCCCACACAAATCCCAAAGTTTGAAGACAGAGAAACTGGCTTCCTTGCTTGCCGCCGCTAATTCCAAACTCCTCCTTTATCCTTTACAGACTGTAGCTCTTTGGATGCTGTTATGCTTTAGATCTAACAAGCCCTGCCCCGCAAAAGTTCATGTATTCAGAAATGGGTCTTTGGGAAGGTGATTGTGTCACAGGGATGCAACACTTGTTAAGGGATTAATCCACTGACAGACGTGAGTGTGCTTTCAGGAAGTGGGGCCAGGTAGGAAGAGGCAGGTTACCAGGACTGCGACCTGAAATGGTGTATATATCTCCCTCCTCTGCTCCTCTCTCTCAGATCTCTTCCTGACCACCAAGACCCGAGCAGCTTTTCCTCCACCAGACCTTTCCAACATGCCCTTCCTGCCTGGGAGCCACTGGACTAAACCAACTATGGTTGGAGCCAACTATGGACTAAAGACTCTAAAACCCATACGCCAAAATACACCTTTCCTCCTTTAAGTTGTGAGTGCCGGCATTTTGTTCCAGCAACATGGAGAGGGTTAAATCCGATGGCCATTCCTTCAGACCACCAACCCTTTCCCCTACCTTGTTGCTGTCACCAACAACCTCTGAGTTTTTTCTCTTAAACAGTTCAGCGAAGACTTTTTCAAAATGATGTTTTCAAAATTTCAGGTGTAGAAATAGACATTTATCAAAGATTTGAAAAATATAAAGAGTATGAAGAAGAAAATACAAATAACCTCATAATCTCATGCAGGAACAACAATTATTGGTGCTGAATAAATTTCCTTCCAGACTTCTTCTGTGCATACTATTGTTAGCTGACTTCTTGTAGTTTTTCTAGTTAGACGATTACATAAATTGGTAGTCTTTGGTGATGTGAGTGGCTCTCACATTTGCCGCAAGACTCACCATTGCTCACATATTGCATAGCTGACGTGTGAGACAGCATGGGCGCGCTGTGTAGCTCCAGGCCTCCCGACACCAACAGGCACAAGGAAGTTTTCCCTGTTTGCAGAGAGGTTATATAATTTGTCTCAATCATACAGAGCAAAAGGAGGAACAAAAACACAAATCTGGGTGTGTCAGAGCAGCATATTCTTTTTCGCTGACGATGTGCTGCTTCTCAGAGACATGGGCGTCTCCCTGCCGCCTGTTTCTGCTCTTTTGTGACTCCCAGAGCGGCAGGGCCTGAGTCTGACAGCAGCTCAGCTGGGTCGTGAGCCCCAGTTGGCCATCCCAGGACGCAGAAGGAGCCCACTCCCCTGTGCCTCTTTGTCCCCACTTGCTGTCCTTTCCCTCTGCTTCCCCATATGCTAGAGGTCACGAAGCTAAATTGTCCCAGTTGCCAGGTTAGCTCAGATAGCTGTTCTGATGGATTTTGCTTTGATAAAATATTGTAATTTAAACCTCTTTCGGGGGGATCAAGTTAAGAAAAAGTCAAGACACCCAGCTCTATTGTGTACAGTTTTACTATACTGAAGAGTATAAGGATTTTTTTTTTTTTTTGGTCATTGTTGTTTTTACTGTGGTTGAAACTTTGAGCAGACATAAATTTCTTCTCTCCTGAACTCTGTGATCTGCCCAAGAAACCTCTCTAGGCAAGCCGCAGGCGGAAGTACCCTGCAGCAGCCCCCTAGCAGCCACTAAGAGCCACTTTCTCTGACAAACCCAGGCCACACAGTTATCAGGCGAGCTTGGCTGTCAAACCCAGAAGGGGAAGTCTGTTGTGAGTGGCTTCTGTCCAACGAAAGCAGTGTCCCAGACACTAGGGAGGCCTCCTGGCTAGAAATGAAGCAGTTTTCTCCCCTCTCCTTTACCACTTTTGGGGAGCAATCATCGAAGTGCCAAGGAACCAGGTGGCCTGCTGTCAGAGGCTTGAGTCTAGCTGTGCAGTGAGCCCTCACCCTGTGCTTGGGGAGCCGCCTGGCCGAGCGCTCTGTGCCAGTCAGTGCGAATCAGGCTGGGTTGCCGGTGGGTGTGATCAACCATGGCGATGTCCTTCCCCCGCCACACTTACATAACTTCAAACACAGGCTTTGTCCTCCCCAACAATAAGTCATCTGGCTGTGGCGCACCAGAGCCTACTTCCTGAAGGAGATGCTTGTGGGGAAAAAAGTTTTAAAAGAAGATGTACACCCCTGAGCATCCATGCTGAGGGCAATGGTGGTTCTTCTCAGTTGCTGGAAGTATGATACACAGCAAACCATGAAAAGCTGGCTTTCCTGAGGTGCCAAAGGACTTGCCCTGAAGCTAGGGGCCCATTTAATAATAACAAGAACAAGAATGAGAATGATAACCGTGAATATGTCCATGCCACGAACGTGTGCCAGACATTTCTCAAAGCACTTGACAGACACACTGTGTTAACACATGGATTTTACAGATAAGAAAACAGGCATGAGTTTAAATGACTTTCTCAGTGCCACAAAGTGTCTGAGCCATAACCCCAGGAGTTCTAGTTTCTTAACCCAGCTCAAAAGTTTGATTTGGATGCTCATGTGGGAGGAATAATGGAAGGTTGGAGAAAACCGCAAATCATAAATATTTTCCAGCACACAGCTTCTCAAACCTAAGGATGGCTCAGGTTGGCTCCAGGTATTTGTTATTCTGTATCAGGCTAATTTCATATTCCAGAGCTCATGGAAGTTATAGCTGGCTATCTCAAGAGAGAGAAATTTCTCTTAGACTCTTAGTTACTTTTCTCATTGCTGAGACAAAATACCCAACATGAAAGTTAAAGGGGAAAAGGTTTATTTCTCTCACAGTTCGTAGAAGGCATAGTCTATAATTGCCAGGCCCCAAGGCAGGGTGGCTTGGTAGAGGGCCATCGCAGAGGATAACAGTTCATGGCAGGCAGAAGACAGTAAAAGCATGCAAACAAGGGAGGAGACAAGTCTCCTTCTGTCCCTTGTATTGTACCCAGGCTACTGTGATTAGGGTGATACCAGACTAATCAATGTACTGATTTAGTGATCACAACCCCTTAATCCTAGCATTACACTTTCTAGATTCAGCACCTCTGAAAAATCTCCACCTATGACCACATGAGGCTTTGGAGGATACATCTAGACTCACACCATAACATTCCGCCCCGGCCCCCTAAAGACTCATGTACATTTTTTAAATGTAAAAAGAATTTAGTCCATCCCTAAGAGTTACCAAAGTCTTAACAGTTTTAGTATTGTTGAAAAGTCTAAGTCCAAAGTCTCTTCTGAGATTTAAAGCAAACTGTTAGCTGTGAGCTCCTGTATAAGTGAAAAGGAAGTTAAACACTGTTAACATTTAATGGTACAAGATAAACATTACACTTTTAAAAGGTATAAATAGGGGGATACAAAGGAATGGGACCAAAGCAAGTCTAAAATCTAGCAGGGCAAACATTAAGTCCTGCAGATTTTATGTCTAGCATCTAAGGCAATCTGTGGCAAGATATGAACTCTAAAGGGCTTGGGTGGCTCTGCCCCTAAGGTGGTGATCATGGTAGCTCTCATGGCTTTGCAGTTTTTCTCAGACCATCTATGCTTTTGGCTTCTGTAAACTTCTGGGACCTGTACTACACCTTTGGCTTTGCACTCATAACTTCACACACTGCCCTCTCAGAGCCACACTGTCTGACCTCACAGGTCTTCTTCTGAAATCTGGGTGGAAGCCTTCCTGACCCCACAATTCATGTATTCTGCAAGCACCTAAAACCAGCACCACGTGGATAGTGCCAAGGTCTGCTGCCAGCTGGAGTAATAGCCAGGCTTTTTTTTTTTTTTTCTTGGCTCTGGAGGACTAGTGCCTATTATCTAAATCTTGAGGAGCAATTTTTCTAGGCCACCACCATTCTGGAACATGGTGCTCTGGGTCTCTCTTTTTAAAACAAAGTCTTTAACTTTTGTAATTTTGGGGCTGCAAAGGGTGGAGTCCTGCTGTTTTCTGTGATGTCCTCAGGCCACCTTTTTTATTTCCCAGCAATCAAGATCTCCTCTGCTCTCTCTTTGTGGTCTACAGCTTTACTGGAGCTTCTTTTTTGGCAAAACTCAAAACGTTTTAAATCATTTTGCTGGGCTCTTTGCTCTTGCTTTTCAACATAAATCTGGCTAAAAGCCCCCAACAGTAGTCATGCTACCACCTCAACATTAGACTGTCTTAAAATTTCTTCTGCCAGATTAATTAGCCTGCCACCCTTAAACTTAGTGTCCAACAAAGTCTCTGGACATGAGCAAAATGCAGACAAACTTTCTGCCAAGGCATAACACACACTGTTTGGAGTCCAACAGCTGATACAATCCTTCCCAGCAGAAACCTCCCAAGCCTGGTCTTTATTGGCATAATTTCTGTCAGCATTCTGATCTTCTGAGCTCTGACTAGAATCTCCCACCAAGTATAGCCTAAGGTATCCCAGCTCTACTTTTTTTAGCTGACATCTTCAAACCTTTTGAAACTCTTCTCACAAGCCAGTCTCAAAGGCTCATGAACAACCTGGTTAGGTATAGTCACAGCAATGACCCCATTTATGGTAAAAATTCTGTCTTAGTTACTTTTCTTGTTGCTGTGACAAAATATTCAACACCCAAAGTTAATGGAAAACAGGTTTATTTAGCTAACAGTTTGTAGAGGTTTGGGTCTATAATCACCTGGCTCCAAGGCAGAGTGGCTTGGAAGAGAGGTATTGAGGAGAAGAACAGTTCAGGGTGGCCAGAAGCCTGAAAAAGCAAGCCACCAAGGGAGGAGACAAACTTCTTTCTATGTTTTATATTGTATCTAGGCAGGATTGGGGGAGGGTTTACTAAACCAGTCAGTGAACTGATTTAGTACTTACACACCCTTAATCCCAGCATCACACACTCTAGATTCAGCCACCTCTGAAAAAGCCTTGGCTATGACTGCATGAAGTTTTGCAGGGGATATCTAGACTGAAACCATAACAGACCTTAGGCTAGCTTCCTGGGTGGATGTGAAGAACTGCTCATTGCAATGCCATAGGGTATGAGGACCACTCTGAGGAGAGGACTTCGCACACTGTCCAGAGGCAGAACATCATTCATCATAAAGACAACCCAGGCCAGAGAAGTTCTGATGGCGAAGTGATCACATGTAGGTGAGGCCTGGCCAAAAAAACTCATTGTCCTGAGATCTGAGGGTTAGAAATCGTGATAACCCTGAAATACAGTAGTTTCTTACTGCTTCTCTACAAAATTACCACAGACACAGTGGTTTAAGGCAACACAAATTTATTATTTTATACTTCTGGAGGTCAGAAGTCTGACACCAACCTAACACTAAGGAGCCACCAGGGTAGTGTTCTTTTCTGGAGGCTCTAGGGGAGAAGCCATTTTTGTTGCTTTTTCCAGCTTCTAATGGCTACTCCCATTCCCTGGCTTATAGCTCCTTCCATATCAAAGCCAGCAACGGCCCATTGAGTCTCTGCCTTCTTCTTCCACATTTAAGGAACCTTGTGATCACAAGGGGTGTACCTGGATAATCCAGCTAATCTTCTTATGTTAAAGACTACTGAAGGACAGCCTTAATTTCATATGCTACCCTAATTTTCTTTTGCTACATAAGATATCCACATGTTTCAGGAATTAGGATACGGACCACTGTGGGAAGGATTATCATTCTCCTCCCTTTCTCCTTTCCTATGGTGGGGACTGAAAATATCATGCATGCTAGGTAAGCATTCTAGCACTGATTTACACCCCTTACCCTATTCCACCTTTCTGAGGAACTGAGACACTTTAAAGTCTAGAGCGAGACCCCTGGGGTGAAATCCCAATGCAGGCAGCCTGGAATCTTCCTGACCAATCAC